AGCGCACAGCCCGAAGAGCACCAGTCCAGTCAACGGTGGCGAGTGTAGTCAAAGTGCGCCGTGCTTTTTATAACAGTTCGGGGCGCAGTGGACAAATCCGCCAAAAACCCAGAATCGTTCTCGAATAGGCGTGGAGTTCTGAATCGTTCTGAGAGGTTGCAGGAAAATTCTCAGCTCTAGCTCTCCGATACAGGATAAAGTGCCTCACAGGAAGCATCTGCTGCAGAGGTTGGAAGCGAGTTTGACCTGAACCAGTTTGGCCAGGAGACGACCGGGAAGCGGATCTGCCTGGAACGCGGCTTACATGCGCATCGGACATCTACTGTTTGTATCAAGTTCTATCGCTACATGACTTTCTTCTCTTGCGGACCTCGAAGCTGATACAGAGCCTGAGTGCGACTTGAAACCGGCTTCCAGCATCCCTTCGTTTTGCGACACTCCGCGGTTTTCTGGTAGACCTTAAGAGCACACACTCATCGAGAATTTGCTGTGGAACTCCTTGCAGTACTTGATATCAGTGAACTTACGTAAAGCCAGCCGAGGCTTGCGGAAAGCCGGCCTCAACACCTTTGTCCCTCAATCTGCAGCTACTTGTAACACGTCTGCGCGCTTCCCGCCCTCGGGAGCCGGGCTGGTCCAACACGGGGTGTTGCGTGCGAATCGCAGATGAGGAAAGCCAAGTCCTATGTCACATGGTGCAGCACCACGCACGTCATGAGTTTAGGAAGTGGAGGGCTTGGAGGGGGGGTTTTGAAGGGGCAGGAGAGGTTTGAGAGGGGTCCCAGGGGGGGTCTCAGCGAAGGAAGGTGGGAAGACAAGATCCTTGGTCTGCTTGTTCTAGACGCCACTCGGCCAGAAGCCGAGGCGAATTTCGGGGAACAGCTTCACAGCTTGGAATCGCTGCATTATCAGCAGCGGAGCACAGGGTTCCGACCTTCTTGGGTCTGCTCGTGTTTGTATTTGCGGAGGCGGGGCTTCGTTTGAAGATCCGACAGTCTAAGGTGCACGGATAAGCAGTCAGTAAGTATCGGGTATTCAAGGAAGGATGCTTGGGCAGTGCGCATGCCGATGCTAAATCCTGAGCTTGCGATCCTAAGTTGGAGACAAGTTGCCAAGTCGACACTACCCTGTGCCTCCCTGGGCGATTGTTGAGGTTTTCCGTGCTGGCGTTTGTGAGCTCTGGAACTGCAGCACACGCGAAGCCTTGATGAGGCTACTCAACTCCATAGGCCAAATAAGGCAGAACCAAGTTGCCGGCTTTCTTGCGCAGAGTTGTGCAGACTTGCCATTAAGCCCTTACTTATCAGCTGCGTGCCGGCAGGTCTGCTGATGGTTTGCCGCTCACAGCAGGCCAGCCTCGCGGAGAGATTCGAAACTTGATCCGGGTTCCGGGTTGGAAGCGGGTTTCGTGGGTCTGACAATGTGAAGGATTTGGTTCTGATCAAAATCCTTCAGACGTTTAGCACATCTCATTCCGCGGTGGATACGACATGCAGCCATATGCAGCCTATTGCAGCTTGGACGCTTTATCCGTTTGCCGACCTCGGCTCCACCATATGTAGTGACAGAGATCCCCTCTAAAGAGGTACTGGGCCGAATAGAGGAGTCTTCTTCTTGCGCTGTCTTGCGCAAGTCTGGCTGTGTATTCCTTCGCAGGAAGCTTGTATTTCCAGGGTGTCCACCGATGGAAGTTCAGACCCGAAGCCCTGGCTACCAGCCTTGTTGCTGCTCCCCCCTTGTGCCACACCTTGTGCAGCCAGGCACCTTCTTGGAGAGCAGAGACTGGCTGGTGACCACTGGAGCACATCGAGACCTGGTGCCTTGCACTTGCCACTAATTGCCCCTAGAATCGCCATACGTCAGGACATGTTGAAGTCCGAAATCTTGGTGCTTGTGTGCTGTCTTGAAGTTTCCTGAACAACCGCCCCTACCTGACAACATTGGATCCCAATGGGGCTGAAGGTCCTGGAAGCAGATGCTGTAGCAGGGTTGGCATTGGAACCTTGACTGCACAAGAGTTGGATGGCTGGTTCGTTTGGACATGGGCCTGGAACTCATGACAAACACAGCTGCGCAAGTGGTCCGTCGCAGAGTGACGACCAATTGACAAGCGGAGGACTTCTGCCTAGGCAGATTGCTGTTCCTGAGGCTGTCTTGGACAATGAAGATGGCACGATCTCCCTGCAAAGCAGGGAAGGCTCGGTGTGAGTTTGGGTCAGGGGGTGGGGTTGGGAGTTTCGAGATATTTGGTTTGGGGACTGGTTCCTCAGGATTTTGTGGCCCTTGCAAAAGAAAGCAACTCAAAGTTGAACGGTCAGTCTCTTGGCATACGTCCAAGTAGCGCAAGTACGAGATGCTTAGACCAATGAATTAAGTCAAGCATCAGCATGGTCAGACTTGCCATTTCTGCTTGTTTGTAACGTTTGTGCTGAGGCCGCTACGTCACAGCTGGGCCTGATGGCACCGTTGCCGCGACGGGCGTGGCCGCTGCGGCAGATTTATGGGCTGGCTTCAAACTCAGCGTTTGAGGAAAATCTCGGGGCTCAGCTGTCGCGCGCTGTAAAGAAAGGTTCGAGTTCTGCGAGAAGTGTTGTGATCAATCAAGTCCACGATTTTGGGGGCTCTTGTCCTCTCGTGACCTTCCCAGGCTCTGCCAAGAAGCTTAAGCGAGTGTCCACCCTGGCAGAGCCTTGATGCGGAGCTCATAAGGCTTAATCTTTGATCCGGAACCTCAATCTGAGGCCGTTGGCAGCTGGGAAAAGTTTGAAAAGGTCACTGTGGAAGGCTGGGGTTGATTTAGGGGTGCATGATGGTGCGTGCATATAGTAAATATATGTATGTATAGAGGATGGCTGGAAAGTCACGTCCCCTGGTGGACGGCCTGCATTTGTGGCAGACAGTACGGCGGAACACAAAAGGGACGAACTGAGAGGTCTTTGAACCCCAACCCCGAAAGTACACCAAGGATCCGAGAAAACCATGCGAAGTGGCGAGAATCCCTGTTGAAAGGCGCGGAGTTCTCCTTGCAGACAGCGCACGGATCCTGGCTTACGGCCAATGGTCGCATTGTGGCGGCTGAGCAGGACGGGCAGCTTCGAGGCCAGATCCGTCAAGCGAGGTGAAGGTTCGATGCTTCGGTTTTCGCGTCTTCATAAGATCATCTAGTCACTTCGAATCATTGTCATAGTACACGATGTACACACTTAGTTCTATCGCCCCATATAGGCCGCCTATCGTGTTCGTTTGCAGGGCGCTTCTCTTTGCGGCTCCGGGAGGGGAGCAGCGAGTTGAGTGGCAACTTGGCTGTCGCGCGAACCTTGAGAACTTCGCACACTCGCACTCTTCGCCTGCGACTCCCATGACGACCATGATCGACCGTGTCTGCTTAGCTTCGGGTCCAGGATCGAGGCTTCAGAAAGACCGCACTTTGTTGGCGCTTCATGCATGTTATGTTAATTCAGTATGGAAATAAATGTCCAGAATGAGCTCCGTGCTGTGGCCGCGGAAGCATGCGGAAGGTTTCGCGGAAGCTCCGTCTTGACTTACATGTCTTCAACTTATCAGCCTTAACAGCCCGGTGAGCATTGGCCCCTCGTGGCCGTGACTACCGCTCCGCAACTAGACATGCAAACAGTCCAGCTTGAGGAGCTGTGGTTTGCCCGCAAGGTCATCCTCAATCCCCAACTAGATGCAAAAGCTTCGGTTTCGGTATAAGTGTCGCCTCGGGCACGGGAAGCTCTGCGGAAGGGATGGGAGATCGATTCTCCTCATCAGTATACTCAGTGTTCTGTAGCTTCGCTTCTGGTAGCCAATTTCCGCCGTGCTGGACAACCCACAAATCCCAGCAAAACCCTAACTTCGTGATGCAACTGCACCGCAACTGTAATGATATTGTGAATTCTGAAGCCAAAGCTGTGCCTAGACTCCTCCGAGCCTCATTTAGATCCTTGACAGCGGGGTGTCCACAGAATAGAAGCTTCGGTTTGAACGACCATCGCAACAAAACCTCACGGGGACACGTGCCTAAGACTACAACCTAAACCTAACCATAGGGGACCTGTGCGAATTCAGGCTACATAAGGTCTCTGCAGAAGGAAGTCTGAAATCATGTCCCGCGGGAACGACCTGTCGAACCGCAGAAGCGCCGCAGAAGGGTCCCGCGGAAGGTACAACGCTTAACAAATTTCAATGTAGCCTCAAAATCTCAAGTCAAGTTGTCAAGTTGTAAGTTGTCAAGTGCATGCGTTTCTGGCACGAGGCGATGGTCGCGCATTGGCCAGCCGCACTTCTGTCCCTCGGACTACCTTGGACGTGGCCTTGTATGCCTTGAGCCTCGTGAAGCGAGGGGCGTAGAAAGCATGGGCCCATCCCCTCAACTGTATAAGTTCGATCCAAGTGAGTGTGCCGGAGACCTGAGCTCACAGAGGTGCACAGCACGCTGTGCAGATACCAGGCCGTGGCTGGGTGCTTGTGAGCGTTGGGGAACCACGAGAGAGTGTTAGGCCCCTCCAGGTGAGCTGTAGGTGCACGCCTCTCACGGCTACAAGGGTCTTCGGAGTCAGAAATTTACTCAATACATGAGCACATTAAAAAACAAAATATGAATACACAAACAAATACATTATAAATAAATAAATGAATAAATACATATAATATAATATAATATAATATAATATAATATAATATAATAGAATAGAATAGAATAGAATAGAATAGAATATATATAATATAATATAATATAATATAATATAATATATCTACATAAATGTATATACACATAGATATAGATTGCTGCTAGACCCTCTGGATGCAACGGCAGAGGGAGACATATGTCTACATCTTTGTTCATAAAATTTATATCGGTATGTATGTTTCGATATAATATGTATATATATATATACATAATACAGATGAGGCACACACATCATGCAAGTATAATCCGTAATTACATGTGCCATTAAAAATATTTTCGAGAGCCCAGCAGCCTGCCAAAGGAGCCCATGGGCGGCATTGGAGGGCGCCAGCGGCGGAGCCCAAGCTACGTGAAGCTCTGGGAGTGGAACTACGCCACCTGCAAAGGATTTTGGGGTTTAGTAATGGTTTAGGGCAAAATTTCGCCAGGCGAGGGCATTCTGCAAGCCTGCTGCAAAAGGGCAAAGGACTTTATAATGACCTTCATGCGGCCGCAGTTAGGGGGGTTCAGTGAGCGCCTTGCTGAAACAAAGACTTTTGGAAGTCCATCTGCACAATCGGGCTGCAGTGAGCCTTCGTGAGATCATCGCCGCTGTTCTTGAAGAGGTTTCTTGCCTAAGCCGGTCCCTGGCAAGGGTGGGCAAGTCCACACGTACATCGTTGCATGTTTCGGCCAATCCGAGACCAAAAAGGTGGGCGGGGATGAGGCTTCACTCCTGTTTTTCTTTTTTTACCAGAGTGTACAGAAGAGGGCTGGGTCCCCACACTGGCACACAGTAACCCCCCGAGGAGCCCAATTCGGCCATAGAAAGAAGGTATATAGAGAATGTACCTGTGCCCCTTTTCCAAATCTTCGAAATGTGAGGTCGACGTGGCCCGTGAATGCCAGGAGACGCTGGGCCCGCGATCTGGCCGCGAAAGACCCGGCTTGGGGTTAGATGATGGTCCCAGGGGGTTTAAGTTGGAAGTTTTAGGGGTTTAGGCGGTTTAGGGTTTAAGGCCAAAAGACCTATTGAATCATGCATCGTGACTCCTTGGAGTTCAAGCGATGTGGCAACTCAGCCCACAAGTCAGACGGACACGCCAAAGTTCCTATAAAGTCCGTTTTTTACTTCCAAATTCCCAAAGACGCCCCTGGTTGAGTCATTGAGTGGCGAGGCAAGGCTTCGATGCTGTGCAGCTGTCGCCCCTGACAGAGCACGTGACGGGCCACCAATGGTGGGTGAGGCACCCTCTGATTTTTCGGATCAGGCTTTGGATGGGTTGAGAAATGGTGAGAAGATGCGAAGAAGGGTGAGAGATCGAAGTCAAGAGGCCTGTAGCAGATTGGATGTCGTGCGGCTGAGGGACCGGTACGCTCTGTTATCCGTTTTATTTCGATCCTCAAATCTATAAAATCCAAGGCAAAAATGGCTCCTCTTCTCTTTTAGGAGCTCTGAAGGTACCAGCCTGTATCCTTTGGCCTCAACTCCCGCAGCGGCGCTGCGTCAGAGCTGCGCCGTGCCGTGGCGGCGTGCCGTGCCGGAGGCATCAGTTGGGCCCCCCGAATTCAGGGATTTACATATTGAGGAGGCGGAGGTGAAAGATGCCCATGGTGGGTTGTTCTAGAGTTCCAGGGTTTTTTTTTCGGATTGGGATGTACGCCATGGACTTTAGATGACGTTTTGGGGGGGGGGGGGGGGGGGGGGGGTGGGGGGCATATGCATGGGGGCTTGGGGGTGGGATTCCTGTTGGGGTTTTCAGGGATCAGACCGTGCAGCTTGCAAGCCTGTACCCTCTGCAGGCGTTGCCGTCATTGCTGATGTGGTGCTGAACCACATGGCAAGGCCTTGCCACGCTGCCGAAGCTCAGACAGATGGCTCCACGCCATGTGCCACCTGCAGAGCAGAAGCGAGTTTGGGATCGGGTGTCGAGTTCACGGAACAGTTGCAGAATGCCGTGAGCTGTCGGGAGGGTTCCAGAGATGCATGCGATGTGCTGACAATCATATGTCATCTCCTTGGCTCACGTGAAAGACGGTCATGGACTGTTGACAGCCTGTTCATCGGTGCACCCATGACAAAGCTACGTAGGCATCACCGAACCCCAGGTCGGCTGGAATGGCACGAAGTACGGCAACCGCCAAACTCAAGGCACTCTCTTCTCGCAGCACCTCCCCCATTGCACGCGCCGGCTGCTAGTTCCACACCTCCACGCATGGCCTCGGGCGTCATCGAAGTGATGACCTCGAGTCACAGAGACGATGTAGAGCACCTCGAAGCTGGATGTTTCTTCATGCCTTTCATGTCAAATGACAAGAATCGAGCTGCAGTCGCTTCTGAGCCCGCGCCCAATAATGTTAACAAGCATCAAGGTGGCTTGAGCCCCAATCTTTCATGGAATCAGCACGCCTGTGCGATGTAAAGTTGGTGTTGATTCACAACGGCTGTTTCTTCGAAGAACGCATCCGGGCGCAGGTGCTCATGGTTGGGATGCTGCGGGACCCAAGGACTTCCACCATCAGGCCCACATTGTTCAACAAGACTCTGCAAGCTGAACCCTCCACCAGCCTAAGCTCGGTATACAGTGTAATCATGTAATCTATACAGCTGCCCTTTCACCTTTCCTCCAACCTCCTCATGAGGAAGGCCACGTGACCTGGGGCACCTGTGGCGTCGGCCCTGAGACAGGCTGGGGCCCCGGAGGACCAGAAGCCGGAAGCCCTTCGGTCCCCCCATGAAGGGGATTTGTAATGAGGGAAGAGGATCGGACCAGTGAAGGCGCCCTAAGGCGAAGTCGGGTCAGTGCATTCTACTCTTTCGCGTTTGTCTCGGCTGCATGAATCCCTTGCAAACTTTGTGTGCTGCCTGTGGAAACTAACTCTCCCAGGTTTCCTTTGCGGCTCTTTGGTCACCACCGACTGCAGCTGCTGTCAATGTGACATGTGCCTCGTCCTGTTTCTTCTTTTGCTCCTCTCTCTCTCCCTCTCTGATCTGCCCATTGTTCCACCTGATCAATGACGAGGGGTTCGGGTTCCATATCGTCTCGAGGCTGTGTAGAGGCTTTCTGGATCTGATCTCCCCGAATGTTCATGGCGGCAGGTTTTCCTCCCAAGTGCATGTCGGCTCCCAGGTTTCGCAGGTCCGTCAGAGTGCACAAGTCGCGGCAACTGCTATTTGTTCTACTCTGAGCCAGTGTGGACTTAATACTACTTTCGTCTTACAGTTTCCCCACGTGGAGACGTGGAGGTGCTCCCTTGTCAAGCGTTCTGAAGCTTCGACTTAGGTACGGGCTGCCGGACTGGAATCTGACCCGGCCAGAGGTCCAGCAGATGCAGAGCCGGCAACTCGTCCCTGTCCACCTGCAATGGGGGCATGTGACTTGTGTGGGTTTAAGGGACGAGCCCTGGTCCACCACTAGAATCCTGCAAACGCCTTGAGCTTACTTCCATGAGACCTGTAGCATGCCACTACACGAAAGATGCTATAAAGATACTCTTCGAACACAGGGAGTTGAAGGCTTCGTGGGGGCAGATGGGTTTCAAGTTGTCAGCTCCCTTTCAGGTGTCTCCAATGCCAACACACCATGTGCGTTGCTTGCATGTGCTACCTCCAGACCAGGCACTTGTCCGAGCTTTTCGACATGGGTGTGACGATGTTGCGCAGCTTGCCCGGATAGTCCAAGTTCACACAGTCACAGGACGATTCCTGGGACGAACTGAGTTGTCGATATATACCTCTGGGTTAGAGAATCATAAGACTTGCATCGTGAGGGCCCAGCCTTTTGTAGAGGCGACCATTTCGTGTTGGAGAACTCTACACGGTGCCGGTATGCAGACCTTATAAGGGCACAAGCACACCACGAAAGGCGTGGATGCGGCCCTCTACATGGAGTCCGGGCCATTTGCGGCCATCGTCCACCGCTTTCCTTGGGACCTCGTGTACCAGGCTTGGGGCCAGGGAGCTGAGGTTGAGGGCATGTGAGTTGTTGAAGGATCACGAGCGAAATGAGCACGTCATGGATGGGGCATGCAGATGCCGCTCTGCGTGTCTGCGGAATGTCTGAGTGCCACGTTCACCAGGAGTGGTGGCACGAGCTGGCGGTGCCTGGGCGCACCGAGGTCTTCGGCCTCTACCGAGACCTGCACTTCATGCGCGCCTCAGCTGCGCAGAATTCATTGGAAGCCTCAAAGATGTCGCAGAAAGACAGCGCGCGGTCAGGCCGCGCAAGGTAAGTTTTGGGCTAGGGCTTGCAGCTTCCCTGTAAGGCTACGCCACAGCTTCTTAATCTTAGAGTCGTACATTCGAGTTCTCTGCAGGGAGCTTATAAGCGACTGGCACCTGCCAGCAACCAAATCAGCCCAAAAATGTGAAAGTCTTATTTGCCCAGGCAAAGTGGCCGATTTGCTGCAACTGCAAGGCCCGAACCAGGCAGCAGAAGCACCCTGGCAGCTCCTGGTTCCAGGGCTTAGAGTGTTGTCGCATGGGGCGAAGCTTGCACAGACCTGCTGTTCAATGTCCGAACCCAGCCTCGCATCACTCATGGCCCTCGCGAGGTAGTCGCACTTTCCAGGGGGGACTACTTCATCCCACCCGAGGAGGCCCTCTACCCTACCTGCGGCCCGGCCCAAGTTTCATGAGGGCTTTTCGTAACGACCGAAGTCGGCATCATCGCTACTCTGTGGCACCTGTGGATGATGAAATCATCGCAGCCGCGAAAGAATCTATATTGCAGCTGCGATGATTCCATCATCGTGGGGGTGGGGGGGGGGGGGTGCTTGTGACCAGCATGTTCTGTTTGCCCTGCCAGTCTCGACAAACCCCACCAGGCTTCCACGACGGGCGCACCGACAATGCGGCTGGGAAGAACAAGTATTTGTAGGGGCAGAGATGTGTCTCAGTGTCGGAATGCATTGGTTTGTGAAGCAAGTGATGGCTGGGCTGCACTTTGAGGGGCCTCCCAACATGTCTTGTAGAGCTGCGCACCAAGGCGGATGCTGGCACCCCGACATACAAGATCCTTGGCCGGATTGGGTTCCTGGCTTTGCAGAAAGACGGAGCGCCCTGGTAATGCGATGCTCATTGACGTGCGCCTGCACCCCCAAAGGGTCTTACAATTTGCTTTCGTCAGGATTATGTTCGCTTATGCGAGTTTACTCACGCCCCATGTTCCCTTGTCACTTCTGATGCTCCCCAGGCCCCCCTATACGGCCCTGTGGCACCGTCAGTTGAAGCGACCTGACCAACTTGTGCAGCCGCAGCCGCAGAGGTCAGTAGGTGCAAAGAAGGCAACAACTGTGGCTTTGTGTGCGGCTCAGCCGAGGGAACTTTTCGAATTGCCACTGTTCGGAAAAATGTGAGGTCATCATTTGCGACCTCATTGTAGCAAGCTTTGGAAAGGCTGCGCAAGGGATTCGCTCCCGCACGCACCTTCAAGCGAGTCCGGAAAGGCCCGCCCAGGCTCGCTGAGCCCCTGGAACTCAGCAGGTTTGGCGCTTGAGAGGTAGCAAGCTCTGCTAGTTCTGCTATGTTCTGCACCGTTGAGGGAATAGCCCAGCCAAGGAATGGACTGGCCTTCCACCAGCAGCGACTTGCCTTGAACCCGAGCTAACTGTAAGAAAAGACTTGGTAAACGAAGTCCACGAACGCCCAGCTTTCAAGAATGTAGCAAGTGTTTGTCTACCTCGCCACCTGCACTTCCCCAGCTTGAGCCGCTGAGCTTGGCTCCTTGCGCGTCCGAACCTTGCATGAAGGCTCACTTAATGACACCCGTCCTTGGGCATGAGGTGCGGGGGGGGAAAGCTTGGAGGTCAAGGCAGTCAGCAATTCCGACCCCCCACTCCATCTGCTTCGCACAGAGGGTCGGAATTTTGATTCCCAGCCCAGAGGGTGTTATGGCTCCGGTTGGTCATGAACCTGAAGGCTTCGACTCGGAACTCTGTGAATCGGAACACCAGGCAGCTCTTCATGTTGGCCTCGCCCTTCCCCGTCTCGGTGCTCCTGTGGAGTGGACTCCTTGCTCAGAAAAATGCTTCTGGCCATTGAGCTTCGGGGTCTTAAGCTTCAAGGTTCTGGCCCGGTTCAGCTTTGCCAGTGCTGCGCAGGGGTTGGCGCGGTTGTTTCTTAAGCGAAGCTCACAGCATGTGTGTTGGCCCTAAAATTAACGCAGTGACGCCGTGTTTTAGTGCTTGGTGCGCTCCCCTCTTCCTGCAGTGTCTGATGCATCGAAGTTCATCGAAGGATACAGTTGGAAGGCGATCGAGCAGGGACCACCCGGCTGCGAGAGCAGTGACTGCCTTAGCCAAGGAGGGCTCTGTTGACTGAATGTCCCAAGACGAAGCGCGTAACCTACGTAGCACTAGCACATCACATGAATCTTCAGCCCGAGGCAGCCACTGCTCAGCTCGGTCCCCGTTTGTGCACCCACTGGGGCCCGCTACAGCTGCTTAGTGACCAGAGAGGTTGGCCACTTTGTCTCCTTGTGTTACTTCTGAGGAGTTTTTGTTGGGGGGGAGCTTCCCAGACTTCCCCCAGACGTTTGTGAAGCCCAGGAATGCTTGTCTACGCCAACCGCCACTCCACTGTCCGCTGAGGCTGTGGGGACGGTGTGGGAAATGCAACGCTTCAAGCTTGAAATGGGGGGGGGGGGGGGGGGAGGCGATGGGTCAAGGAATTTCCCTTCTGAGAGGCATCCGGATGCTCTGCAAGATGATCTGCCTTCTTAAGCCTTATCAGCCCGCACTGCGAATGTCTCGGCATATCGGCATGTCGCAAGGAGGGCAGAAGACAGTGGGTGTGCGAGCACAGGCACATGGGAAGTTTGGGAAGGTCACTTCCAGGATCCCCTTCAGCGCAGATGCGGGGAGCATGGTCGGTCCTCACATAGGATGACGCGCTGAGCATGATTAAGCGATGATCCGAAACGAATCTTGAATGCGTTCTAACCGAAGCCCCAGCTACCTGACCGAGCCTCAGAAGTAGGGAGACACAAGTTCTACTCGCTGGAGACTTCTGACTTGCAATTTGTTCTCGCGCCGTCCTTCTCCGAAATGGCAAATCGAATTTAACATGCGCAGCACTTCCCTGTAGGTGGCGCGGTGTGGCGGGACTGCTACAGTTCCGCAAGGCCAGAACTTCTAGTGGGGGTTTTCGGTGCTGACACACCCGAACTTCTTATTGCCCGCGTCATTATCCCGTAAACCAGATGGAGCTAGGGTTCGTGGCTTCGTGATGGCTATCAGCTTGTGGTATCTTGATTGAGGCTTCACAAGGCCACTGCAAGATCTTGCAGGTTCGGGGTACAGGAGGTACAGGTGTTTTGAATGTGTTGGATGCAGGGACCGGAGCACAAATCAGCAGTGCAGCTATTGAAGCATACACCAAGACGGGGATGTGGAGAAGCTGGCAAGACAAAGCAACAAAAGCATGATGCACTTGATCGTACTAGCGATGGGAACATCTCGAAGCCTGCAGTCTTCAATCCAAAGGCGTGTCGTGGCCTCCCAGTGGAGCAAGTATGGACACAAGGCAAGGTCTGCTAGAGGGGGCCTCGTGGGCGTTTCCGTAAGGTGTCTTTATATTAATTGTATATTAAGCTGTCCCAGCCGTTCGTCATGCTGGCAGATGGCGGATTTACTCTGGAAATAATGCGTGCTGTTGAGATTGCAGCTTGTCAATGCAAAGAAGAGAGCTTGTTCATCAACTTTGCTTTAAAGCCATGAGCTTTTGCATCGCACCATGCAAGTTCAGGCTGACAGTTGCCAGCTGCTAGATTCTGCTAGGGAATCCATCCCTGCACCGCTGTTGTCGCGTGCGCAGTTCCAGGAACCGTGCCCTCGATGAAAGCTGGCCACGTGGCCTTCCGTACTGGCCAGGAATGCTTTGTGGCAATTGCCAGAGGCCAGTGCACGTGATGACGAGCAGCATCGAGAAGCTTAGCTAACTGGGTGCAGTCCCAACCATGCAATTCCATGGCGATGTGTTTCTACTGTAACTAGCACGTGTCCCGAATGCGTCGCAGAATATAGCAGCAGGGTTCCCACTGTAAAGGAGGTGACCAAACATCGTGCATTTGTGTCGCGGATTTCGCCAAGCATCCGTGATGCGCTCGCGCATCAAAAGAGCTGACCGCTACGAGGATGAAGCACCTGGAGTTCGCCATTGTCGGAAACCACTGTCGTCGCTTTTGGAGCTTCGTTTGATGTTGGCCAAGCCACTCGAAGACCGAAAGAGCACGACTCTTTTCCATGCGATTATGAGAATGATTGAAACCTCAGTGTACTCCCAGAAACCCGAAAGCCCCCTCCCCCCCTCCGCTCCCCCCACAAAAGCAAAGAGAGGGCTGCTTCCGCTGTCTCGCTTGGCTCGGGCGGAGAGTTGTAAGCCTCTATGTCACCTGAACGATGCATCACAGGTGGTCAAGGTGCCTTCCTCCTCGGTGGGTTGGAGCTGCGCTTCCCTTCGGGCCGTGCTTTGGTGCCGTTTCCGTTTGGGGGGGGGGGGGGTTTTGGCTCATTCAGGACATGGGATATAGGATATAGGAGATTGTCAGGAGCTTGGCCCGCTCTAGCCACTGTAGGCATATTCCTTCGCGAAGGACTCTGAAGGATGTTCCAGGTTTGTCAGGTTCTGGGGGGAACGGTTGGGATTTTGCTGGGTTGCTGCGGTGAAGGTGCAGCTGAAAGATTCTCAAGGATTTGCCCTTAGAGCCTTACAGGGTCGTTCCGCAGGGGCTCGTAGCACCTGCTTCACTGATGCCAGGGCATGGGGAAATAGCGATCGCTGCTCGTGTAGCTATTTCCGAGGCTACTGCGACCTGGCATCCTACGACGGAAGGAGACCCGGAGCATATCAAGACTCTTCCCAGCACTGTACCGCCTCAAGCTCCGCTGACTTGGGGTTTGCTATATGTACACTGGCTTGAAGCCCAGATTAAAGGCATGTGGTTCATGATGGCTCGGGGATCAGCGGAAGGCAATCCTCCATTTCACCTGTCCTGAACAGAACCCTATAGAACCCTGCAAACCCTATAGATTCTGAGAATCTGTTCTCCCACAGGAGCTGCTCGCGTGAAGTCTTTGTGGACGACGGACGCATTCAAGAAGGAGGCGTCCTGCTGTTCAACATGTTGAGGAGTTGAGGGTTTCTCGGCAAAATGGCTCCAGCTCAAGAATTTGGCTCAAGCCAGCCCCTGGTTGCGAGATGCTGTTTGCTCCAGTTTGCCACGTTTGCAAAAACACTGGGATGCTTGCATAGGCTACTGAGCGGCTACTTCAAACGTACGCCGGCGTGCTTGCATACTGCCCTCGGGACTGCATGAGAAGCAGCCATCAGATTCGAGCGCGAATTCAGAGTCCGAGCTTGGTGAGCGGCGCCATGGTTTCCAGGGGGCCAGAATCATTTCGAGAGGAGGCTGAGCCAACAGTACAAATGACTCCAAGATGCTCGGTACCAAAATGGCGAGCTCGTTCAGATCAAGAGGTGAAGACGGAATTTGAAAGATGCATACAGTCTTGAACATGACATCGAGACCGCACAGAGAGGCCAGACGTGTTGTGACGCAACAGGAGGGACGAAAGTCTTCTATGTCGTAGTGCGTAATTGGTCGCCACTTTTGTTGTGAATATTCTGAAGCTATGGTTGAGGTGTGTGTTTCCCCCATAGATCTTGGACATAACTGCATCTTCGAGTTCCACTTGAGAAGGCTCTGCCCTCAGGTGTGGACCCGGCCTACAACTAGTTTTTTTTTCCCCCACCCTCGGTGTGGGGTTGTTACATTTTAAGCTCAACTCTTCTCCTCGCCCGGAACTCTTCTCCTCGTCCGGAACTCTTCTCCTCGCCCGGTCTACTCCTGGAGTGCCCAACTCTAGAGTGTCCCTGGCGTGCCCAACCCCAGAGTCCCTGGAGGACCCAAACCCCAGAGTCTCCCTGGAGTGCCCAGCCGCAAAGTCTCCTGGAGGGCCAAACCCCAGAGTGTCCTGGAGTGCCCAACCCCAGAGTATCTCTACCAAGAGAGGGTGGGGATGTTCGAAGTAAAATGATTTTAATATTAAATCTCGGACAAACGGTGACCTTCTTGCATCTTCAATTATTCCATGGTTTACGTTGCTGTGCAGTTGCTTTGCCCGCAAGGTGCACTTAGTCGCACGAGTCCCACTAAGTTCCACCCATGTCACAGGCGTCCCCGATGGAGACTTGACAGCGTCTTGGCGAAAGCCTCCCCTTTATCCCTGCAGTGAGGGGTGACGAGGTGTGGAGGTTTTGGAGGTTTCGAAAAGGCCTGAGACATCGATCTGAGCTGTCCCAAACACATCTCAATTTCAGAGCATTCGAGGCGATCAGCGTCACTGCGCGATGGCCGAGCTGAGTACCAAGTCGGTCATGAGGTGTGGCCTCGGTTATGTGCAGGGTTTGTGCTTGCTATGTTGAGTGGCAGTTCTTGGTTCCCTGGAAGCCAATGTGCAGGCCAGGAAGAACAGATACGCAGTACCTGCAGAGGACAAGTTTTCCAACGTCAAGAAGCTGCAGCCTTTCAACCCCAAGCCCCACTCCGTGCTGGACCTGCACAGGCCTTTTGCTCCGCGTGACCGCGTGACGCTGCCGGGCTCAGGCTTCGGGGAGTGTCGAGCATTCGCTTTATGTTCGAGCTTAGAACCGGGGCATCCTTGGCCCCCGGGACCCCCATACGCCCTTAGACAGAGAAAGTTCACGCTCCGAGAGGCTCAAGATCAGCTGAGCTGGCTGGGGGGGGCATGTAGTGACTGACAACGTTACAGAGCTGTGCATCTGAGACTCTGAGACTTGAGGCTGGGCTTCCCTCGCAGCGCATCCCAGGCCCTGGGTGCTTCAGTGATTGGACTGCCAAAGTAGCAGTTCCTGACGCCTTCAGATGGCAAAACTAGCGCCAATGCTCCGCTTGCTTAGTTGCCACAGCGCGTGTTCTACCGGAAGCTTCTTGTGCTGATTGTCCAGCTTAGTCCTGGGCCGCTAAGCCCAAGTCGACATCAACATTTGTCCCACCTTGAAAACAACCAGTCGCCGCTGTCCAAGGGCCGTCAGTTCCTGCCTTCTGTAGACCCGAAGACCGGGTCCGCAAAGTTTTAAACGTCTCACTGGGGCCGGTTATGCAAGTCACTGTACAGTATCCCAGCACGAAGCTCTGCCTGGCGTGAGTAGGCGCTGTTTCTGCAAATGTATGTTCTGACGCAGGCGTTGAACATGGCCACCAGGTCTTTGTCATGATGCGGGTGTGCTTTTCTTGTTTACACGAGCCTGCCTTCGAACCGGTCGTGCATGCAAGCCCACTTAGGCAGCTGACAGT